GGCATTGTCCTTATTACATCTCCAACAAAATGCTGTTTTTGACAATTCTTTTCTATACAGACGTAATGGAGTCCTATAAATTCTAAATATTATTTTTTGTTGTATGAGTCGTAGTTTAAGATCCATTGACACTCTTGCTATAGACGTTAAGACACTCTCCCATTGTCTAGGCAATACAGAAACCTCCAATTCTTTATTCAACTCATCCCTTAGCATCTGCATATCAAATTGATTTATTAATAACAAATATCTATACAAACTAATAGTAGATTTTTATTTATTTTTATTTTAATTTATTTTGTGGCATAACTTTTAACAGAAGTCTCTTCAAGGAAACTACCAGGGAAACTGACATGCTTTAGCTGTCATTACATTGATCTGCAATTATTATTCATATCTTACCTTCAGCCACTGTGCATATCATATAGCCTCACCTGTCATCAATGCTAAAGAATCATTTGAGAAGCAATTGATTAAACATGTTTTCTAATGTTTTTCTAGCAAAAGAACTGACTTTGTCAGTTGCAATTAATGGCACTTCTTTATTTATGCCTCTAGTTGATGAAACGTGTATGGATAAATATTAAATCCTGACAGAATGCTGTTATCAAGGTGCCAATGTGTTAGTCAAAAGACACACATAGATCATGAGAGTCCAATTTAGTATTATACATATATTATATAACCCACCCACCCCATTTTCTTACCAGAATTTGTTATGCCTAATGTATAAAGCTCAACTAAATAACTGAACTGTGCAAGCTATTGCTAAAAGACCAAGAAGTTTGCTTGTAATATCTAGGATTTCTCACTTGCTTGATTTGCAATGTTAAAGCATAATTTTTCTTAGAGAAGTATAGTTGGAAGCGTTGATAAAATATTTAAAAATGCTAATATATTTATCCCTAGGCTAGACACTTTATATGGTTTTATGCTTTACTATTAAAAGCCACATTAAGGGAAGCTGGACTGGAAGAAGATGAGTGTGGTTTTAAAAGTGGAGGAACATAAATAACCTGTGCTATGCTGATGACACTACTCTGATAGCTGAAAATGCAAAGGATGTGCAAGCTCTAGTAGTAAAAGTCAAGGAGCACAGTGAAAAAATGGGACTAAATTTTAAATATAATTTTAAATATAAAAAATACCAAACTAATGACAACAGGTAGAACAACCAGCCTTAGAGCTGATAATGAAGATGCTGAAGTGGTGGAGAGCTTCTGCCTTTTAAGATCAACCATCAATACTAAAGGAACAAGCAGTCAAGAAATAAATACACTGTAGACTAGCAATTATAGCACAGCCATGAAGGCTTTGGAAAAAATATTCAAATGTCATGATGTGTCTATACCTACAAAGACTGGAATCATGCAAGCACAGGTAGTCAACACTTACCAACTGCCTCATTCAATAACCATTCAAAGTTACAACAGCGCTGAAAAAGTGGGTTTACAACCAGTACTCAAACTTGTGGCCATCGCAGCATCCTCGCAACTATGTGATCACAATTCAGGCGTTTGGCAACTGGTATGCATTTACAACAGTCACAGCATCCTGCAGTCACATGATCGCCATTTGCAACTTTCATAGCCAGCTTCCAACAAGCAAAGTCGATGGGGAAGCCGGTAAGAAGTTGCAAGTCAGTCACATGATGTCATGCTTAATGACCTGCACTGATTTGTTTAATGACTGCAGCGGAATTGACATAATAAATCTGGAGCAGTCATGTGACATTTCACTTATTGACTGGGTCGCTTAGTGACAGTTGCTGATCCCAACTGCGGTTGGTAAGTGAGGACTACCTGTAATGGTATTCCCTGTGAAAATTGGGCTTTGAAGAAGAGTATTGACGTTTTTGAACTTTGGTGATGGAACATCTAACAAATCAACCCATATTTGTCACTTGAGGCACAAATAACCAGGCTCAAATTATCCTACTTTGGAGACATTATGCAAAGACCTAGATCTCTGGAGAAGGCTCTAGTGCTGGGAAAGGTAGAAAGAAAGAGAAGAGGATGACAAGCACCAAGATAGATGGATTCAGTTACAGTAGCGATGAGTGCACCATTGGAAGATCTGAAAGACCAGGTTAGCACCAAGATAGATGGATTCAGTTACAGTAGCGATGAGTGCACCATTGGAAGATCTGAAAGACCAGGTTAGCACCAAGATAGATGGATTCAGTTACAGTAGCGATGAGTGCACCATTGGAAGATCTGAAAGACCAGGTTAGCACCAAGATAGATGGATTCAGTTACAGTAGCGATGAGTGCACCATTGGAAGATCTGAAAGACCAGGTTAGGGACAGATCAGTTGCTAAGAGTCAATAATGACTTGATGGCACATAATAATTAGAAGGCACAGAGCTCTGGAGTTTGACATTATCTGCTATTGTTAATTTCAATATATATATATATATATGTATAAGCTTGCCAAACAATAACTAATAAGTGGTTATTTTTTTATTTAAGGAAAGAATTTATATGATCGCCAGGCTTGAACACTGTGATTCTAAGCGGTGTAAAATAAACCAAAAAAGCAAACAATACAACCATGTCAAGTTGCCAGAAGGTCAGCAGATAATATGCTTGCCAATTCCACATTACATCTTCTAAAAGCCAAGCAGCACACAAGATGCTGTCAGTTTGTAATATCTGGTCTCATCCTTGGTGTCTCAGTTTGTGCCAGGCTGCAGTCCTATATCCCTTTCTGAATGGGCTACATACTGCATGTTCTCACATGAGTCCTTTAGCTCAAGCTGTAGTTGACCAAAAATCCTACAGCAAAACTTGATGTACAATATTCAAATTAGCTATCTATGAATTTATTGGAAATTGTATATAATGAGTCTATGGGATGGCTACAATTCTTTTCCTGTAAACTGATCACTAATTTTTAAATATGGTTTTATTGTTTTTAAAAAGATTTTAAAATATTTTTGATACATTAAAAATATACTTTCTATGAGAATGTAAAGCAGTATAAAATTATTTTTAATAAACTAATGGTTTACATGAAGGCATACACGGTGTTTATGCATAGATAGTTACCCGTTTAGCATGAGATCAAGTGTGAAGTAATCTTCAAACATAACTTGGAAAAAAATCTTTGAATTCTCTTAGATGCTTTTATGCAGCAACAGATACACCTTTTAGCAAGTGTTAATGAAAAGTCTTTGGAAATTGTGGTTAACTATGAGTGAATTGGGGATATTAAGAAATACTTGGTGCTTGCTGTGAATGGTGTGATATGTGGCTGATGTATCAGCAACATGAGCATGATCTTGTACTGGCAGTTCTCGTGGCATTTCCTTCCATTCATGGAGTACACAGGGCTACACCACCTTTTTCCTGGGCAGAAGCTGTCCTGTGCTAGAATCTGCACTTCAAAAAGCAGGGAGAGCAAAAACAAAAAAAGAGTTAAACTAATTCGGTGATACGATTATCCATATCTTCAACTATTTTTCCAATCCGTCGCATTAAAATTCGAATTCAGCATTGGAGAGGCAATCCAAGGTATTAAGGTAGAGATCACAACGTGTAGAAAAAAAAGTTTTAAGTTTTAAGTCTGCAAACAAGACCTGTTTCATTATTTCTTTTCTCTTACAGCAGCTGCAGCTTTTAGGCAGTACACTAAATTATTAACAAACGAGATCAACAGCCACAACCCTGGCCAACTCGACCGAAGATTATACATGTTGAGGTCCAAAACATCCGGAGGGCACCAGGTTGGGTAGGGCAGAGACTTACGAAAGAAATTGTGCATCTTCTCCACTGGAGAAAGGAGATTGAAACGCCGCCCCGAAAATCCTTCTCCAAATAAGCAGCTATGTGCCGTCCTGCTTTATGCTGCAGTGCGGGAGCTGAAGTGTATTTATAGTAATGATGATACACTAAAAGCACTCGAGGTATCCGAGCTCAGCCCGCAGCAACGTCAGAGTCGAGCACGCCTACATTTCAGCAGCTCCGACCACGCACCAAGCCCCAGACCGACTGCAACTGGAGAGGAAAGGATTTGCGAAGACTGAACAGTATAATGGAGCGGGGCGGGGGCGGGGGAAAGGGAGGACGGGCGCAGGCGCGTTGTTGCACGTCATGATTTCTCTTCTCCCACCCTCTCAAACGAAGCTTTCCCTAAGGTGGAATTCAGCCGTTGGGTAGCCGCGTGCACCTGTTTCTTATTCGTTTCTGCTGGGCGCGAGCTAGTGTTGGGTGACGTGTTCTTAACCGTAACCAATCGAAGCAAGACATGGAAAACACAGAGGGTGCCCCGCCTCCGCCTTCCTCCCCCCTCCCCGACTGGGGCGGAGCGGTTCCTTTCAGGCAGGCGCTGGCTGGGCAGTGATGGCGGACGATGGGATTGGGAAGCTAAGGACGGAGCAAGGCGGCGGCGGCGGCGTTGGTCCGCCGGAGACGGCGGGTGCCGCTACCGGAAGCTGGCTCGGGGGAAGCTGGCTCGACATGCTATTAATCTTGACCTTGGTAATCGTGACGCTTTTGGCCTATCAGGTCTACAAGCGCTGGGGCAAAAGGATCGGAGCGGGGGGCGCGGCGCAACAGAGCCAGGCCCACTCCTTGCCCCGCATGAAGCGGCGGGACTTCACTCTGGAGCAGCTACGCGAATACGACGGTGCGCGGCTGCCGCGCATCCTTCTGGCCGTCAACGGCAAAGTCTTCGATGTGACCAAAGGCAGCAAGTTCTACGGGCCCGGTGAGGGGAGAAAACAGGGTTGCCCCTTTCTTCCTGACTCAACGTGGCTGGGGCCATAATGTGTCTTAGTATGGCTGGCGTAGGAAGGCCTTTGGGAGAAGGGAGGACAGTGTCTCAACTAGTTCACCGATTAAGCCAATTTGTGGTTAACTGAACCAGGATTTACTAGTTTAATTGCCTGGATTCACACAAGCTGGCCAGCCACATTTCAGGCTTGTGCGAGCCCAGTAGAGGCAGGTAAAAAAGGTATGGACATTCCTTTATCCATCTGTGTGAATAGCTGGAGGCAGATGTTCTTTGCAGAAAGAAGTCTCTGAATCTGATCAAAGTTTTGGGTAGCAATGTTAGGATGCCATTTCTTTAAGGCTGCCTTGTCATCTTATTATGCAAGACATTTCAACAGTTGGAATTATAGCCATAGTCCAGCTTATTGTTTTGTGTTGAATATGAATAGGCAGTCTTGATCTTACCATAGCTTTTTACTAATAGCTGCACATAGTTCTCAGTACAGGGGGGGAAATCCCTAGCTTTCAATTAAAATAAACAATGTATTTTTAAGGTAGTGTGGAATTGTAGTATTGATAATTTCCATTCCAGTTTGTAACATCTGTAGAAATTAATCTCTTGTGTATATTTCAATGGACTTGATAGTTAAAATCTATTTTATTGTGAATGAATAGTACAAAATTGTAATAGGAATCACAGAGAGATGTAATGAAATGTGTAGTCTATAGTGAAAGAAAACATATGGCACAAGTCAAGCCACTCCTAATTTAGGTATGTGTGTTTTAATTGTAGGTAAAAAAAGTAAATAGTTCAACTATCTTTGCATATACTTAGGATCATAACTTTATTTAGTCATGTTATAGTTTTAAAATATTTTTAAAAGCTATTATACTTTATACAATATGCATATGGGCACTACTAAAATTCCTTTATCGTTAGACAATGCAAAATGAGTTGTAGTGGCTGCTATATTAAAAAACATTCTTTGCGAAAAAAAATTGTGGGTGCTGTTTAAGATGGTGGCTGCCTCAAGTAGTTATTTACCTATATTGTAAATAAAATTTAAAAGCCAGCTAAAAGTAGTTGAGATGCCAGTTTAACCCATTAGAATTCTTTTAATATATTTCAAGTTGCTTATGTGCAGCTTGCCCTAGTGGATTCAAGAAGTTAACATAGTTCTTGGGCCACTAGATCTTGCTCACATAGATATTTGGATTAATTCAGGAAGGACATAAGAATAATATTTTGCAGCAAATTACTGTACCCCTGGGCCGGGTTTTAAAACAAGCCTTTTCCCTCAGTTTTATAGTTTACTCTGTATGATGAACACTTATCACAATATAGTTGTACACAGTAGAAGTTAGTGTGTTCATCAGTGTTGTAAATATTGGATATGTAACATTACTTTTACAACTAGTTATAAAGTAATCCAAATAACAGCTTTATCAATTACAACATTTCTGTACTAATTCTTATATTTAAGACAGTTTACTCAAAATTATAAACATTACAGAGAACCCAAAATAATGTGCCCCAAATATATTGTCTTTCCTAAAAGTCTTTTTGAAATATAATGGTTTCCAGTCCTTTGGGAATATAAACAACAGAGCGGTAAAGATTCTGGCTGGGAGAGAGAGTCCTTCCTGCAAGTATATAGGTGCCAAGCTATATAAGGCTTTAAAGGTTAAAACCAGCATCTTGAGTTAGAATTGAAAGCCTACTGCCAATCAGTGTAGTGGCCTCAGCATAGGTGTCATTACTGATGAATGTTGTGTTCTGAACTAATTGCTGTTTCTGAATTGTCTTCAAGGGCAGGGCCATGAAGAAGGCAGTACACTAGCCTCGAAGTGATGAGGATATGAGGCACTGTTTCAAGGGAATCCCTACCAGAAAAGGCGCCACATCTGGCACATCAGCCTAACTGGGCAAAGGCCCTCCTGGCCACAGCTTCCAATTGTTGTTTAAGCAGTACCCACAATTCCAGGAAGTCCCCCAAGTTGCAGTCCTACTCTTTTAGGGGGAATGCAACAGTGTCTAGAGCCAAAATAGTGATTGCGATCAAAACAGATTGATTTACATGTAAACAACAATTCTGTCCTACATGGAGGTGTCTGACCTTGTTTTGACTATCTAAATCCTTACAGCCTCCAAACTGAGTTAGGACCTCTACAGCATATCTGTCTCAGTTTGGGATAGCAATATGTAGTAATCATCAATATATTGATGGTATGTCACTCTCCCAGCAGTTTCATGTAGTTATTGAAACTCATGAGAGAGAGCACGCTAAGTTCTGTGACATCCCTCGGTGAAGGAGCCAAGGGCTTGATCCACTCTTCTTCCAAGCAGTTGGTACCATCCATTCAGGTAGGAGAACCACCACAAAATAGTGCCCTTTACTCTCATTCATCATAAAATGTCCAGCAGGATACTATGGTTGATGGTATCAAATGATGCTGAGAAGTCCAGTAGGTCCAGGAGTGCATTCTTCAAGTCCTGGTAGAGGTCATGAACCAGGACAGCCAATGCTGTTCCTGTCCCATGCTTGGGCTGAACCTTGAGTAAAAGGGGTCTAGATAATATATTTCCTCTAGGATTCTCTGAAGCTGAATCCTCACCACCTTTAAAAATCTTCTTGCAAAGGAAGAAATTGGATAAAATTGTCCAGTGTGGTTTATTAAATTTATATGGCTGCTAACTTGTTAAGCAACTCTGGATGGCTTACTGGTTGAAAATTTCAGTGCAGGAAAATGATAAAGATAAAACATAGTAACGTAAAGCATATTGTGTTGTGGCCCAAACACAGTTCCAGCAAGCTCATATAACTCCCTGGCCCAGCACCTGAGGGAAGAACCAGGACTTTAGGACCTTTTTAAAGGCTGGCAGGATTAGGTGCTGCAAAATAGAATAGGTGCTGCAAAATAGAAGGCACATCTGGGTTCTATGTGCCACTGAGTAATAGATGGGTTAGGCCAAGAGATGACCCCTTCAGGAGGGAGTGCACTACTTCCTCTTTCAAGGCAGGCTACACCTTCCTTGATTCAAAGAGCTGCTTATCTCCTCCCAAATCCAGCCTCATATCCTTTTTCCAGCCACCTGAAGGAGCCAAGTGGGCATGGACTTAGTGAATCAGATTTGTCCCGAAACAATATATTGTAATTGTGAATGGCTTCTTGAGGAAAGACTTCTGAATTCTGCCCTCCTCAAGAATAGCATTACATCTGTTGTGCTTCAGAATGTACTATAGAAGGCACTTTAGAATGTACTATAAACAAAGATCGTATCTTCATTTAGCAACTGCCTTGCACAGCAACTGTTTGTAGTTATGACAGTGGTAAAAAAATAACTTTGTGACCAGTGCCTGCATTTGTGAACTTTGCAGCATCCCTCAATCATGTGTTTGGCATTACAGTCAGTCAGTACACATTGTCCTGTGCATGAACTTTTTTTCCCCTTTTCTCCCCCTGGCAGAGAGCAGAGATTGCTTAAACAAAGCTATCTTCCTCAGCTGCTTTTCTCTGCAGCACAGCAGTCCCTAAAAAGTGCTAAGGCCAAGTTAATAAGCACAGCTCTGTGACCTTAATTAGTTGATTAGAAACCTGGGCTGGCAGCTGCTGCCTGTAACTGACAAGACCCTAATCAGTTTCAGACCTCCTACACACTGCTAGACAAACTGCTGCTGCTGCTAGTGCATTTGTTTCGATGTCTATTCCCCATTGTGTGCCTGCTTACTCTCTTGTAATTTCTTCCTTTCCAATGAATGTAAATACAAACATTAATTCTCTTGTTAATTATCCCAGTGCCAGGGTGAACATTCCAAAGGGCGGGGGCCTGGGGAAAAAGGGCTATAAGATTTACCCTTCTACCTGGCTTCCTTGTGAGTCAAGTTCCAGAAACCTACCCTGCCACTTGGGCTCACCTGGCTGTTTGGGGTCATGTCCTTCTGACACTGTAAAGCAAAGAAAAGCTGAAGTAAAATCATAAGCACAGTTCGCTTAACAACCAAGTTGCTGGTCCCGATTGTAGTTGCTAAACGAGGACTACCTGTACCTATTCAAGGTTGTCAACTTTCTATCCCTGATGGGAAACTAAATGTATCTGTATATGATATTCTGATATCACAGGCTTCAAACAAAACTCTACCATCTCAAAATATAAGTACATCTTTGATCTTTGTTTCAATATGGCATATGTTGAAGAATAGGTTTTTGGATCTGAGATTGAAATAAATGGTAGCAATGTCAATTCTAAATCCACTAAATCCAGGGGCAAAATAGGATTGGTAAGCAAGATATCACTCATCCCATATTGGACATAGAATATCTAAATGTGTACATTTTTCAGTTCTGTTGATTTTAGCTATATTCATGTTTATACCTTAGGCTCCTACTGAATTCCTAGGGACTGAAAAATGTTTGGGTTTGGCTGGATTGGAACTCTTTTTGATTTAGCATCAATAGGGCAAGATAAGTTACAAATGGAAAAAAAAAAATAATCTGACTAGTTATCAGGTTGCCCAGATGGTTTCTTTTTCTAATTCTTTTGATTCATCATAGTTTGGTTTTGAAGTGGAATTGGCTTATAAATAAACTGGCAATCTGTTGAAATATAAATATAGGTGAATGAAGTGGAAAAGAAGGACTAGTATGGAGCTTAACATTTCATATTACTTTTCTTCATAATATTTTCTTCAGTAATAGAAAGTATTATATAATGAAGTAATCAGGTACTTGATCAGAGGAAAGATGAAGACCTGATTGAGAAACATATGCAAAAAAGTAGAAGTAAACATACCTAGCACTATATTTGTAAATTGCATGTACATACAAGAGATTCATCAAGAGAGCATTTCTTGTTCACCTATCAAGTTTTCCTGTAGTGTTTGGGATTACAGCTGGCTTGCATTTGAGATGCATATGGACTTTGTTTCTTCACCTTTTAGTTTAATTATTTCTTACATATGTCAATCAATACATGTTTTGATGAATGGTTGGAAG